AAAGTATCTCTTGATTCAAATCACTTTTCACATTTTGGCGCGAATAGTGCGCTACTATTCGCGCCAAAATGTGAAAAGTGATTTGAATCAAGAGATACTTTGCTGCCTGTCGATTCAGATAATAAGCTCTTCAGAAAAAAAGTTTGGACCGATTCTGTTCCCCGTATAAAAAGTCGATTTTGCGCTAGTGAATCGAGTTCTGTATGTAATTCTCAATTTTCTTCATCTGGGCTCAAGTTTTGCGCAATAAAAATAGCATATTTAGCATGAGCATCACAAATTGAATTGAATGGTGTATCTTTTTTAGTCTATCTGACTACTCTAAGTTTTTTTGACGTTTCACGTAGAAAACATCTTGAGATTTTCACCAGAAAAATGAAAATCAACAAAAAGTTTCAAAATATATATCATTCAATTCAATAAGAAAACATGAATTTTCTCAGTGACAAACTAAAGTGGCAAAAAAAAGCGATTCATACTTTTAAAGCTCGCTTAATGGCGGTTCTAACAAAGTAGAAAAATCGGCTTCATCTCTTCACACAGAAAACTAGATAGGTTTGCAAAACTATTTATGAACTTTTCATAGGGAGGAAGGCCAAGACGTCCATACTATATGGACCTTTGACTTCGACCTCGATCAAGTATCATTCTCATATTCAGAAATGGTATGATACTTGAAAATGGAAAAAGTTTCTGCTTCATTTTTCCATCATTGGCACCTTGCATGGTGTTCGAGATATGTTGCCCCTTTATTAAAGCTTCCATAAACAAGTTTTACATAATGCACGAGTGGAAGATATCATCAAGGATCGCTGTTAGATCAACAAATACGTACTAATCAACTAACGCGATAAATTTATGAACAAAAGGGACATTTCTATACAACAAAAAACATGTTTACTTGCTATCATCGTATCAGTTATCTGAATGTTGCGTAGAAATTTGACCCAAAACAATAAATGTGAATAAGAAGCAAGCAAAAGAAACAAAGACACATATAAATAAAACAAGGATACTTGTGAGAGATTTGAAGATAGAAAAATTCGAATTGAATAAAAGTTCGTATAGCGTAGTAAAACAAAAATAACCGTTTATTACAATCTTTAGTGTACATTTTGTTTGAACAATCACAAAGTACAGCATATAAAAATAAGACATATCACCATAAATCATAAGATCAAACAAATTAAAATTATTTATTCTTTGAAATGAGATATATATAAACAAAATGTCGATATCTGGAACAGGTTTGAGCAAAATTTATCAATGAATTGGGAAGAAAGAACACAACAAAAACATCTAACACCCCTAGTCGAGAATCCTCAAAGATATCCCTAGGGACTCCCTGGAAAAGGAGAAATTCCTACAGACTCCCTAGGAAGTCTCCTCAATCCTCCCTATGGATTCCTGTTTTTCAAGGGGAGTTCATTGGGAGTCGCTATAGAAATCAAACATTCAAACAACTTCATTCGGCAGTACAAAAGAAGGTCGCACTCTATTCTAAAAATATACCATTTTCAATCAATCGTTTATATTCTTCTGAACCTAACATGCGCTTTCCATTTGCTGTTAAAGCAGAACCGTCTGGCAATAATTTCTACGATTTAAATAATTCATAATAATCTTCCATTTTCCAGCCTAATCTATCTTCTAATAATGTACCAAATGCTTGCTCACTTTCTTGTTTTGGAATCATTTTAAGATATGTGGCTACACGACGACACCCTTGATTTTTAAAAAATGTATCCCAGCAATGGCAGAATTCCTACATTTCAGACATTCTACAAAATTCTATAGAATTCTACATTTTCCCTATGAAGTTTTTGAGCGCAGGGCTACTATTAAAAAATTGCGTTCCTCTTTCATCATCATTCTTGCCTAGATCGCTAGTAACGTCTGGAGAACATTTACTACGCAAAAGAAAGAAAAAACTTTTGTGCTTTCCTTCCTGCTAACAGAAATTAGTGCTAATTACGGTAATTAGTTTACTTTACTCGCTTGAACCCCTCCTATTCCAAAATAACCACTCAATAGAAGAATTCAAGTAATACTTCGCCCAATACAGAATTTCATGTCTACAACGGACGCTATCTTATATGTTTTTGAGTTTATCTATGAATGTGCAACAAATCAATAAATCATAAACGTTCAAAAACTTAACGTCATTTTATTTTCTCAGTCAAACAATCTCAGTCGCCCGTAAAAATGTTAAGACATCTGCTTCAAAGTGTTCTCTGCAAACTGAAAAAATTTAACACGATAATTAAAAATCAAAAAATTTCCCTAATTTTCAAACTAGTATTCATTTAAAAATTTAAAGATTTTATTTAAATTTCAAAATTTGGGTGATAAACCGAAAAAAGCTTTAAAACTTTTTCTCTAACAGTACAAGTCTAAGAATTAAAAATACTGGAGAACATATACTTGAGACTGTGTTCTATAAACTCGCAGAAAATACCGAGACGGAGAATCTCTTTAAACAAAAATTATATCGACGCAAAAGCATTCATTCATTTCTCCAATGATCTTATCATACATACGACAAACTTTTCAACAAATCAGGAAAACGTCTACCAGTCGTTGCTAACAACGATGATAAAGATTTATTCAAAATTTGTTTTGGACCACTTCCAGACGTTACTTTACTCATACGACTAATACCGTCCCACCCTTTAAAGCAACAACAAAAAGAATGTCCTATTTCATCTCCTTATAAACACCAAAACTAAATTATAACTTACCTTCAATTAATACAGAAGCTTTATCATCCCCGCTACTATCACTCGGATTCCAGAATTTCACCTCTCCCAGAATTCTATCTCCTTCTGGTGCAATAAACAGAACACTGCGTCTGCGTAACATCAGCAGCAGACCTGCATTGGTATAATATTACAGAACACTACTGTTCAAATTTATCCAATTTGCAAATTCGTCTTCAGAAGAACCCTGATTTTCCCTATGTCCTTGTTCTTTATCAAATTTATATCTTTCTAACTTTTGAAGAGCACCGTATAACAAACTGATGTACCTAGATTTTTCCACACCTGGAACGTAAAATCGTACTTATATTTTGGTCACAAAACCATATCAGAAATCATTACCAGATTCAGCTACGTAAAACGAAAACAATGTAGTCGTTTTAGCACTTTTCTCTGGCAAATTAAATAGCAGACTTTCATTCGACAGATGCGCCAAAACAGGTAAACAACCAAAAGACAATCTCACAGGGTCTGCATTCGTATTGTTCCATATTTTTAACATGAAGTCTAATACGTCACCCTTCAAAAAGTGGTCGATCATATAATCATCAGTAATTCTTGTACATTTTTCAAAATTCCTGTCATGAATATATTGTGCATCAATTGTTCGTAAGCCGTCCTTCGACATTCTTAACACGACAAAATAAAATTATATCTATAGATTATCTCAAATAGAAATTAAAATAAATGATAGTCAAGCAATAAAACTTGAAGTTCTTGCCGCCTAAAAATAACTATATTATCTTTCTTTTTTTGTCAAGAAAAATATCATATATTTAGGCGCTGACGATACAAAAAAACTAACTCGTTCTACTTCTATACGCCTTCATAATATCTAGGTATAACTTTGTATACTTTATAACTAAACGTCGTAAAAGAACTAAAAAGAGTAAAACAAGTAAGGTGCTGCTAATTCAGTTTACACAGGATTTTATTTTCTTATGAAACACATATTGTGATTCGCCGGGATGCGGTCGGTAATCATGAATATCACCTTTTTGGTTCGATTAGTACGCATCTTCATGGTGAAAAACTCGAAATACTGAGTATACCTCAAAAATCGAAAAAACACTACCCTGGCGAAAACCGGTTCTAGTTTTTTCCCGTTTTGTTCTAGAACTCTGACAGTTCCTTTTTCTGAATCCTTGAGTGAAACTGATTCTGAAAATGTGTTTTATAAATTTTTAGCATCTTGCGTTCACCTCCAAACAAATTATCTATATGAACACATAAAAAATGACCATCTTGAATTTGAAAACTTTTACAGTTTTTCTATTGATACCTAAAAATTTTTCTATATTTTACCTGCTGAATACTATGCAGTTCTATAGAAGCTTTAAAAATCTACAAAAAACACTTCGGTTTTTGAGAGAATTGTCTAGAAATTTTCCGACGTACAAGAATGCTTTTTACCATTCTCAAGTAAAACATCATTTGGAGCAGGTAAAATAGAGTACATCTTGATATTCTCACATAACTTGGATTAATCTTGAGTGAGTTATGAATTTTTCAGTTTTACTCAAAAATAGACAAAATCGGATACACCTAATGTACGGTTTCACTAGGTTTTTGAAACTGTTTTGAAAAATAAACGTTGCCACGAGATTCAACATAGTCTTTAACCTATATTTCCATTTATTTTCGACATTCCCAAAGTAACAGCAGAGGAGTCCTAAGGCTACAAGAAAATCTCTCATAGCTCTCGAACCATTGATTTTCGAGGTGCCGCAATTCTGATGCACTATAGGAAAACTTTTAGGCATCAATAGAAAAACTGTAAAAGTTTTCAAATGCAAGGTGGTCATTTTTTATGTGTTCATATAGATAATTTTTTTGGAGGTGAACGCAAGATGCTAAAAATTTTTAAAACACATTTTCAGAATCAGTTTCACTCAAGGATTCAGAAAAGGAAACTGTCAGAGTTCTAGAACAAAACGGGAAAAAACTAGAACCAGTTTTCGCCAGGGTAGTGTTTTTTCGATATTTGAGGTATACTCAGTATTTCGAGTTTTTCACCATGAAGATGCGTACTAATCGAACCAAAAAGGTGATATTTGTGATTACCGTGAATCACAATGTGTGTTTCATAAGAAAATAAAATTCTGTGGAAACTTTAAATTAGCAGCACCTTAAAAGTAATAATAGGAGTAAAATCAGCAAAAAAATCAAAACGATTAACAGTACTGAAAGGCCAAAAGGACTGAAGTGAATAAAAAACTAAAAGGCATACCCTAGTCGAGACTCCCGGCAAAACTCCAACGGGAGTCCCAAGTTTATGAAAAACTCCAGCAGGAATCGTAAGGAGTCCTGATGACTCTCGCAGGAACTTTCTAAAGTGAAAAGTCCAACATGGA